AAAATCTTCAAAATATCGAAAACAATTTCTGCAGTTCAAAAAAAATTTAGAACAGTGCTTTTTATAAATTTCTACTCAACTATTGAAAAAAATGTGCCCTAGTATGCTCTTGTTTTACTAACATTATCGGACATATGTAAATTCAAGGCTTTCACTTAGATCTACTGAATTGGTTTTCGTCTGCTAGTTTTGATCTACACCAATACAAAAATAACACAAATTGAAAAGGAACTGTGTTGTTTCTCATTTGATTAATATTTTTGACAGAATTTTCTGTGATACTTGAATATCAACCCGCTATTATATATATATATATATATATATATATATATATATATATATATATATATATATATATATATATATATATATAGTAGCATGTTTAGGGGGGTTAAACTTCATGAATTTGATACCGACCCAACCCAAATGTCCTTCCCTTTGATTTTTTTATAAAAAATTACAAAAGGCGCCTTCGGCGCCAGTTCATTCGTAGAAGAGGTTGAAAGTACTGGAGGTGTGAAAATGAGTCCAATTTTAAGGCCTCAAATCAGACTCATTTTAGACTCAAGGCAGGTACCTGCTAACAAGTTCCTGTCAACCTGCCTCGTTCACAGTATATATACCGCGTTCAAAATTATCTTGCTCATTCTAAGAACTTTTTCATTGAAGTTTACACTGCACTCTGAACTGGACTTCAACATTCAATTTCAACCAATCAGATGTCAAAGCGGGTTGCTCCCAAGAATTCTAGGGCTTCCGGCTTCAAGACGCTCAAGGCCTTCTTCACCAATAGTCCCTAGTCCCAAGAAGTCACCACCCGTATCCAGTGCTACTGCTCCTGAGCCTGACAAACCTGGACCATCAACTCCAGACACGCCCATACCTGGACCTTCAAGGCTCTGAGAGCCACTGGCATTTTTCGTCACCATAAAAGATGAAACTCTTTCATCGACTTGTTCTATATCTCCGTTCTCTGAGCAGGCCCTGTAGACTCCAGTTTACATAGACATAGGAGTCTACAACTTCAGTTCGCTGGAGATGGACCTTGATCTCAAGTTTGCTCTTCGAGACAGCCCCAATAGACCCGCACTGCAAAACTGGCCATTCGAAATTGTAACCAAGCAAGGTAAGACAGAGAAAAGACCACTTGGACCTCAATATCTCGATAAGTACACATTTGTGGTCTACTCAATGATGCAAGAAGGCTTTATCTGTCGCTTCTGTTTCTGCTTTGCTGACATCGAAGAGATAAAGAAATCTGGCGGTTCTTTTGAAATACTTCTTGTTCACAAGCCTTTCCAGAAGATTGCACGCCTGTCAAACGACTCGGAGCCTCATCGGAAGAGTTCCCATCACAAAAAAGCTTTGGAGAAAACGCAGGCTTTCCTGGATTCAGTCAAGCACCCAGAGCGACACATCGATGTTTCCTTCGACCGAGCGGTTGCCAAAGAAATGGAGAAAAACAGGCAGTTTCTGACGCCGATCATCAGTACAATTATCTTCACTGCTCGACTTGGACTTCGCATCGGAGGCCACAGAGATGATGGAAGTTCCCTGATCTCAGCCTCGACTGAGTCCAGTGACGTCTCATCCGGAAATTTCAAGGCCCTTCTTCAATGCATAGAACCAGTCATAGAACCAGCTCATTATCATCATAGGGGACATCATCATGGATTGAATTGTATCTAGAGTCACCGCTTCGAAAAATTTTACTGTGATTGCTGACGAAACTACTGACATCTCAAGAACGGAGCAGGTCTCAAGTTCTGTCCTGTACTGGGATATCACCGAGGTCCGAGAGGAAATGAACACCAAGGTAACAACACTTGCAGACATCATCTTGACATGGATCACATCAGCTGGACTAGGAGACGCCTGCTTGGTTGAACAGAGCTACGCTGGGGCACCCACATGATGCTGTCTTGACGTTCCTCCAGCTTCTGCCAGCTGTAAAAGTTTTGCTTCGGACTGCAGTGCGTACCTTGTTGGAACATTACGATCAGAGTTTATAATTGCACTGATGAGCATGAAGCATGTTCTAGCTGCTACAAAACCCACCAGTGTTACTCTTCAAGGCCCAGCTCTGGAATTTCCCGAAGCTGTTGAGCACATAAAGAACTTACGTTTTCTCTTCCAGCAATGGCGGGACAGTGAATGCAGTGGTTGCTATCAAAGGATCCATAATTATACTGTCAAAATTGGCGATGTCCATCTAGAGGGTCGGAGAGACCGGCCTCCTACAACTACATCAGCGTACATCAAATCATTTCCGTCAGACTTTCTACCTGCCTTTCATCGACTGCTTACTGTTAGACTTGCAGGAAAGGTTCTCGGCGGCTGTCGCGTCTTAATCCAAAGTGTGCAAGCTCCTTCCTCGCTGGATTTCGGACAAAGATGCAACTAAAGAAGATTTTGATGACTTGGTCGTTCTGTATCGGAACGTACTGCCGGATGGTGACTTTGGGAGCGAGTTCCGAGTCTTGAGGAATATGCGACGCTTTCCCCTTACAGCTAATTATCAGAATTAAAATCTGTCATCAGTCGGCAATGCAACCAAATTAAAGCAACCTTTCCAGTAACAGTTTGCACTGCGGAACGCTCTTTCTCCAAATGAAATTGCTGAAAAACTACGTTCGATATAATATGAAAGAAGATGGCTTATCGAGTTTAGCTTTGATATGCATCGACAAAGAAGTGAAAATAAATGTTCATGATGTCAGAGACAGATTTGCCGCAAAAAAACGCAGGCTCACTTTTGTATAAATTAAATTTTGCTGATTTTTGAATTAAAGTTTTGCTAGTGTTTTACCAAAAATCCGCCCCCCTCGGAAAATCTTAGATTCGCACCTAGGATAAGTATATAGCCATCCACAACGTAGCAGTTTTGTCTAATTCAGGTCTTTTTTTTGCTTTTTTCTCCCCACAAGTTTCCAAAATATGATCAAGGTGTCCAAATTTTATAGTTGCTTCAAAGATCTGGATGTCAGCTTCTGTATTGCATTCAAAAGATGTAGCGTTCGCTTAAATTTTACGCTTTCAAAATTTGAGCATCAAAAATTATACAGAACCAGATATGAGAACCATGAGCAGTGCAACAAAAAAGTCGAAGTCTAGAGGTCCGTTGAGTGTAATGAGCAGTTTCCTGGCTTTCTTACTTCGCTACTATATTTTGCCTCAACTCGGTTTTTCAAAACAATTTTTGATGTTAATCGGATTACTGGTTTAACCTCTCTGTTTTTTCTACTGATTCCATTCGGAACTAACAAATTTTTAGATCCAATTAAATAAACCCTTCCTTTTACTTGAACAAGTCTATTGAAATTTTTCAGTGCATTACGTTACGGTGTAGGTTGAACTAAAAGACCGATAAAAATTTTAAGATAAAAAGAAATTAGGTACATAAAATCATTAAGAAAATTGATCGCCAAATGGTGGTTAAGCCGATTACAATCTCCTTTAATATCAGCCGAAAATTCGAACGATCATATTTTGAGGAAGAAGTTTACTTACCTAATACATACGTAACATAGAAAAAATGGTTAAAAACAAATACATTTCACTTAAAGTTCGTTTCATGGAGAAATCTATAATCTGTGGGTGTTCGCCTTTTTAAGTGTTCGGCCCTATATTTTCCCAGCAGACAATTGTGTTTCTTTCTTTTTGTTTCGTTCAATCGTAATCAAATTTTGACCTTGAAAATTTAAAAAAGTTCTGAATTCTCGCAGGCAGCAATTTCTTTTCATCACAATGAGCTCCCATTTCCCCCCAGACTTCAGCCTTAGCGGCGAGATGAAATCTGTAAATTGAATTACCGGGGAGTTAATCCAGCCCTTAGAAATCCAATTGGGTTTGAAGTGCCTTCAAATGATGACGTAAGCTAATGAAGAGTTGATCAAGTCGGCATGAAAAGACCTCTTCAGTTTTACTTTCAGAAACTGAACTTTTTACTTAAAGTTTTATCACGGTTCTCAAAGTTCAACTTACGCACTAAATTCTAATCAGAAAAACCTAAGCCTTTAATCGAATTTGACTTATAACTGTCTGTTTCACGGAATAAGTTTGGGAAGATTTTAAGGGCATACTTGCAAATGTCAAGCTCGAAATAACAAAAATTTGAATTACAAATTTTTTTTTGACAAAGGGGAAAAGAGGTCGTCATTAAGAGGTCAAAGAAAATTCAACTTCAGATTTTTTTGAGAAGTTTTAATTGAACCGAAGAATCTTCGCGAGGTTGGTTGGGGTGGGTTTTTAATTAAAGTTTGATAATTTTGTCGATTTTTCTTATATTTGACCAAATTAATTTTTCCGAGCTTCACAAAACGAGATTAGTAGGTTTTGACAGCAAAACTGCTTTTTTTTGCGCTCATCCTTACAAAATTTCAGTATGTATTGACGGCATTTTCCAGTTTCTTGAAATATTTTTGACAGATATGATCATATTATAAATAAACAATAGTTATACGTTTATCTTCTATTCAATTGCTCATTTATTGATATCTACAGTCTTATTTAAGTTAGTCGGACAAAACGAACAACAGAGAAAACTTGAAACAGGTTTTTTAAATGGGTTAAGATAAGACAAAAAGAGAAAAGAACAAAAAGTTCTGAGATTTTTACAAAAATTAGCATGATGCAATTTGCTTTGCAAAAAAAGCAAAGTAGTAAAAAAATATTCAAATTTTTACCTGAAATACGGTGCAATTTGAATCTTTTCAAATAATTAAAATGTACACTGAAACTAATGAGTTAGTTGATGAAAAAGCTATGA